TTTCAAATAATCGAAGACCACCTCCGCCAGGTTCTTTTTCATTTGATACCACGGGACAATGTCTTCCTGCTCTTTCTAACCATTTCAAAGCACCGTCTTTCTGAAGCGCTTGCCAGATGGTTCTTCTTAATTAAATGCCACGCCTTCCAATGGCTTTGAAAAGCTTTGAAAAGCTTTCTGATTCTTTGGCCTTGCATATAGGTAGAACATTGCTTTTACATTTGCTTAAACCGAATGTTCTTCTATGCAACCAAATGCTTATGGCTCTGCCACCCAAACCGCTCAACACACACCTTCTTTTATCATCTGCTTGAGGATTTAGGGTTTTGGTTCTAGGGTTTGGGGTTTGGGGTTTAAAGTTTAAGGTTTATGGTTCGGGGCTTAAGAGTATCATTCTTCCATGCGTTTGTTTTGGGGATCCGTTCCTTGTAGGGTTTCGGGTTCACGGAAGCATAGTAGGAACCGTGCCGAACTCTTTCTTTAAGGAACCGCGTGTCATAAACATTTTTAGAGGCCTGTTCCTTACAAAAACTTCGGGTTCGAGGAACCACTATGACGTAGGAGTTTATGCCCTGGAGCCCTACACCCCTGAAACCCCCGAAAACGAACAATTCTAAACCCCAAGCCCCTAAAAACCCTTGGTTGAATAAAGCCTAAACCCTAAACCCTAATCCCTAAACCCTAAACCCAAAACCCTGAGCCTTCTGGTGAAAGCCCAGGCTCGATCCCGGAGCCCACCGGTCCGTGGACCCGGAGAGGCGCCTCTTCCATTTTTGGGCTTCTTCGGGGTTTAGGGTTTAGGGTATCCTAAACCCTAAAACCCTAAACCTTAAAGGGGTGGTTTAGGATGTAGGGTTGAGGGGTTTAGGGTTTAGGCGTATAAACCCTTAACCCTAAACCTAGGCGTATAAACCCTAAACCCTAAACCCCGCCTTACACTTTGGGTTTTGGTGCTTTGACCTTTTCTCTAGGGGTTTCGAGGCGGAAGACGGAAACCCTCAGTTTAGGGTTCAGGGTTTAGGGTTTCGGGTTTAGGGTTTGGGGTTTAGGGTTTAGGGTTTAGGGTTATGCTTTAAAGACTACTTGGATGCTGCTGTCTGGCGACAGAGGAAGGAAAGGTCAAAAAGGAGCCAAACAACAACCTACGTGAAGGTTCATGGTTACCTGAGCCCTAAGCCCTGTAACCTAAACCCTAAACCCCGAACCCTAAATCCTGAACCCGAAGCCCGAAACCCTAAACATCTGAGAGGTTCACGATCAGTGCCAACGGGGGGCCGAAGTTCAACAACGTGGAGGCCAACAAGGCAGCCTTTCGGAAAGATGGCAGAGTTTAGGGGTTTAGGGTTTAGGGGCATAAGGGTTTAGGGGAGGAGCTTTTGAAATTCATGTTCGCTGAGTCATGATTGGCTGCATCGTGCTTTTTCGGTCGGAAGATGCCATTGTGATCGCAGGTCGGGAACTACAACGTGCTGCTGCAGGGATGCTCTTCTGCGCTCTACGACACAAGCTGCACTTGGGAGGAGTCGCATGAGACCTTCCACCATGCCTTCGCCGCCTTCCCCTGGGAGGTGGTTCTATGTCAATTAACGCCTGAACAAATACAACATAACTGTTGCGGTATGTTACACCGTAAACAGTTATAGAGGGACTACAAGGGAATATTTGTACTTCTTCAATCCCTTATATTGCAATATTAGGATGATGAGGGTGAACCTAGCGGTGGCGACGATCACGGGATGGGTGCAAGGAGATGGTGGACTTGCAGCGACGGATGGCGATGATGGTGGTGAGGACCACAGTGTCGATGCTTTGCCGGTGGCTAGGATTATGATGGCCATGATCTCGCAATGCTCGTCGTTCTTATGATGAACGCGGGCCCGGGAGGTGCTGGAGTGCTTCTCTCCGCCGCCCCGGGTGTCCTTCTCGTGGCGGCACTGGGGCCATTTCACCGGCAGCTACGAGGGCCACCAGGGCTCCGGCGAGCTCGTGGAGATGTATGGCTTTGCCGTAGCAGCTTAGTTCCCCAATACCTAACCTTTAAGCTTTTTTGGGGTTCTTATAAGTTCAGTTAGTAGTAATCTGAAAGTTTAACCTTTTATTTCCCTGGCGAATTGGGGAAGTAAGGCAGAGGTGGACGACCAGCTTCGACTGGTGGACGTGGAGGTCTACTACAAGGCTCGGAGGCTTACCCGAAACCCGAAAAGCCCACCCAAAAGCCACCAAAGGCCCCTCAACCCTTATAAACCCACATAAACCCTAAAAAACCCTTACAAACCCTGCCATGCCGATGGAGGTAAGCCCTAAACCCTACACCCTAAACCCTAAACCGCAAACCCCAAACCCTAAACCCTAAACCCTGAACCCTAAACCCTACAAGCCCTATCAGGCCGACTCTTTCCTGGAGGTCATGAAGGGCCTTAAGCCGGCGAAAGCGCTGGCACAGGGGCAAGACTTGCTGGGCGCAGGCGGGGTTTGGGGTTTAGGCCGTTTAGGGTTTAGG